CACCAGAATCTACAGTAAGGGTAATTAACTAATCCCACTGCTGGTGTCATCAAAGCCCTATTCGCGGAAGAGCGGATCCCTTTTGCTCGTGCATACGACAGAGCTCTTGTGTGTTCGAGGCACATGCCTCAATATGGCCTTTCCTTGCGTCAACGAGTGACTACAGTTACATTGAACAGAAACGTTGCGTCAGTAGTGGGTTGCAGTCATGTGTCAAACATTGCTGGTATTAACGGTCAAATATACTGCGAACAAGCAGTTCCCCTCATGTAACACAAATAAGTGGGGAACAGCCATACATATCTTTCTAGTGTAAGTACCAAGGACGGTTTATCTGTATTATTGGAAATAACTGGTAAAGTGAATGCAGTGGATAGGTATACTTGGGACGCTTGCCACCGAATCAATAGCAATGGTCATAGGACGTGTACCGCAGAACAGCTGAGATGCCAGTAACAAGCTGCCGAAAGAAATTAGTAAATGCTTCACTGCTGAAGTGTAACAAGAAAGACCTATACTGCGGAAGTTCATGATAAGTATGGACCACATAAGATGGAAACATGAGTAAGGGCGTAGGCGGGAGTAGGGATCTCCTCTCCCATCTGTCTCAGTCAGTTCGGCGCTTCGTTTCTCCCTAGATGAAAATAAAACGCTTTGGTTCAGGGACGCCGTTTCGTCAGAGTCTGATTCATGAGAGGATCCAGGGTAAATCACGTTTATGAAGTATTCGCTTACTTTCTGCTCAGGAAGGACTGTGGGAGGCAACGGCCGTGCGAGCGCATAACGGTTTCCTAATGCAGGGGCATAGTGTAGGTTAGTTCCAATATGTTATGCAAGACGTGGACAGTATCATTTGACGACGGCTTGGGAACAACTGGGTAACGAATTTACGTGGCAACGTCCCGCTTTCGATACAAACGCTCCAACATGTTGAATGAAATTTAGTAACATTTTATGTTGCAAAGAAGGTAAATTAGGAACAAAAATGATGTCAGTCAGAGGACAATTACAGGTATGTGTGCCAGGCTGTGGTTTTACGTTGCCCGTTAAGAGGAACTCGGTCAAATAACTGATGAAAGACTGCACTGATACCCGAAAACTTGGTGATGAGAGTGATGTTGTTAGTCCGTTTCAACTCTGGACTTATTCGCCGATGCTCATCTCACTGGCCTTAGTAAGACTGGACACTAGGTACTCGAAACAGAGGATACTTGTTGCAATGGTGGCAATCTGCACGGATAACAACGATGTGAATACAATGGACGGCGTATGACTGGTGAGTGCCCAGAGTGTCCAGTCTTACTCCGGCTAGTTAAGTGAGCGCCGGCGGATAGGTCTAGACTTGATATAGACTATCATTTCAATCTTTCAGCAGTCAGTTGACCAAGCTTTTCTCAGCGGGCAAGTTAAAATCTCACCCCACCTCACATCAGCAGTTATTCTTTGATTGACACCACTGTTGTTCCTAACTGTGCTCACATTTGCCATGCAAAATGTTCTCCAATTTGAGCTAGTTCACTTGGTCTGAAAAAGCGTTTGTGTCAAAATCAAGATGTCGCCTAGTAAATTCACTAGCCGGTTGTTTAAAATCTTTTTTTGGAGTAGTGGTTTCCCCATCGATTGCGAGCATGTTAGAAGCAATGGAAAGTGAAGAGCAGTTAGAACCGGTGCAGTTGCGCATAGTAATTTATCCATATGGCTGTGTTAAAAGTTGTTGTAACTCGGATTATTATGATATAACTCAAAAGGAGACCATGGAAACAAGCCCTTTGATTCAGATGACCAAATTGAGAAGCGGCTTGCATACGTTTTTGTTCTGCGGAGGAACCTAAAATAAATACAAGAGAGCTATCTCTATAGCGTTTCGTAGGCGTAACTGTTCTTTGAGCCTAGGTAGACACATCCCAGACCTTTAACCTCAGAGAATAGCGTTGAAGGGTTTCGAACTTCCGGAGTCTATCAGCAACGCGCTACCCTGATTACTGGTTAATCGATCCAAACTATCATTCTCCACATCGTCCCACACTGCACAGCACTATCTGCTCACTCAGTGTCATCGAGTTCGTAGAGTAGACGCACTGACCCTTTCGACCCCTCCACAGGGGGAGGGCAAACGCAAGGCTATTCAGTGTCAGTCCAGACATGTGATGGTGACTTGGTAGCACATAGTGATGGGGTCACCAGTTAAAGTTACCCATGGCATTGTCCACTGCAGACAAATATAGGAACTGGAAAGGTATATCAGCTGTTCTACTTGAAACGAGGTTTAACCTAACAGAGATAAAGATAGGTTCAAACGCAGTTGCCAGGGTGTTGAAGGTTCGCAGAAGTAATAAATCTATTGATATTACCGTTGTAAAATCTTGGTAGTTATTCGAACGTCATTGCCTTACACAGAGGAGAGCAAAGGCGTCCGAGATGGATGGCATGCGAACATCGTGCACAACAAGACATCCTACCAAATAGTTACAGGTTGAATGTGCACATCAACAGTTAGTTTAATATCGTCGGTCCGATGGAGAAACTTTATTCATTAGGCGCTAATTCTAGAGGCACTGGGCAGATTTATGATCTCTACCTACGTCCAAGCTCTTGACAGCCACAACACGTACGAAACCCTCGAAATAGCATATAGTTTACGTCCCCTAGGTTGTCTCTTGTGGAGTTATGCGGCGTCCGTGTCTGTTATCCACGCGGATACTTTACCTTTGATTAAGCCATGGTAGTTACCACTTGTAAATACAGGAAAAGAAAGAAATATTTACATTCACTAGCGGAACTACTTAGCACCAAGTTTAGTAATATTCATCATCGCGAGTTACAGGGAGGTCCTCCGATCCGATTCTTGACGAACCTTCTTCACTTGTGCATCCAGGAGTAAACACTGTCCTGCCAGCACTTAGCTCATAATTTCGACTGGCCAGGTGTACCCTCCTCTGAGACCCATAAGATAGACCTACCCAAATTTCCGTTGCAAGTAAGTGTAGTCAACCTACAGTTACTAGGGTAAGGACCAAACCAGGTATTTGATAACGCGTCGTTTTTACTTACAGGATCATATGAAGCTGTCGATCAACGTTTAAAGAGAGTAGAAACAGAAGTTAGTGTTCTCGAAATCCCAAGTAAATGTTTTCTTCAAAACCCTGTTGAAGTTGTACTTTTTTATCTGATAGGATAGGTGTTTTGGGATAGTGTGAGTCTTTTAATAAATTCTTTTGCTTGGCTGTTAACGTGGGAGAGCATGGAAATGGAGATAACGTCTAGCAGAGGAATGCCCCGCTTAAACATGGGTTGACTATTGATCAATTGACTGGAGGGTCTATTACCATATACTATCGACCTTAACATATAAATACTTAAAAGGTGTAGCTAAGTTCAGCTAATTTGCAAATCCGTTTCATTGCTTCTATGTTAGTTAGAGTATCTAATAAGCGTTTGCACTGTAGCAGAAAATCAAAACTTACATAAACATTTGTTCTGGGAAAACTTAATCCTCTTCGTAACAAATGATGCAACACAATCCTGAGCCCTAACAATCGATTGTGTGCTATCATCACAGGGGCAGCAGCAGTGTAAAGGGATGAAAGGGACAATATATGATGTCCGCAGCTACGAGCCACCGGGACTCTCCTCTTAGCCAGGTTGTTGATCCTTTCAGAATGCAAACAGGCGAACCTGTTCTTGAAAGAAGTTTTCAGAGTTAAAAGCACCAAAAGTGCGCCTACCTAGAATACGATATTAGCGATAGGGACAGCGCGGCTAAGACTTAAATTCATACAAGATTGAAATGGACGTTGAATGCTACAATCTAAATGCACCTAGAGAGTCCTTACCAACCATCGTAATTTGCCATCTGTATTCCACACCAGCGGTGCGAGAACACGTGCAGGTGGTTAGGCAAACTGGGCGCTATGGGCATGTAGCCTGTACTTGTAACGTCACGGTATGCATAAATGTAGCACGTCAGGAAGTGTCTCTGTATCAAACCTACAGGCAAGAGATTGTGGAGGCTGGAATATTATGGTGCTTTTCTTTCTGCTTTCCCATTTAGTTTTCGACGTGTCTTAGAACAGACATCTCCTGTTCACTTTCACACTATCCATCCCGTCATCTCAGGCTTGATCGTCCATCGGCAACTGTGAGACTGGCATCCAGCTCGCTATGAGATGTACGTCATGCGCATCCTCCATCCAGCCCATCTTTCACTAGGTCTTTGTGATGAAGCTATCCAGTCACATACGAAATCCCTGTTTTGCGTTTCAGCTCCCGTGTACGCCTTGGACACGGAAGGTTTCGAACCCTTGACCGAACGCATATATCAATATCAGTCAGGATACACTAATACACCACACAAAAGTGTAAATGTCAGGCGTGTGGAAGACTATCTGACTGTTGCGAATAATCCCCATGAATACAAGTGTAAATGTGCTTATAGGCTGCGACTTTTTGACAATGCCGCCTAACGATATTCCCAGCGCAATCCCGGTGTAGGTTAACTTTGGCGCGTCCAATCATGAAATTCTAGTGCAGAGCCACTTGAAGTCCAAAACTGTCGCAGCACATAAATCGGAACTGGTTCGTGATCGCGACGAAGCGACTAAACGTCAGACTAGTTCAACGTCGCGCCGAGCCTTTCGAACTGTGCATCGCGTCTGTATTGTGGTTTTCAAGGCGACAGGACACAAGGGCATGCAGTTCCGAGGTTAACAGTGGAAACTAACCACGATTAACTTGGGGAGATTTTCCCGCGTAAAAAGCACCCCAAACCACAAATACTGAACAAGCGTTTCACACACAAAACTTGGATGTGGTAGGACGTTAACGTTTAGCATACCTATGTAGTGAATTTGATTATTGACTAGAAACTATTCCTCACAAGTAGACGGAAACGCGCTTTCACGTGTCAAATCATCGCTGTAATCTATCTACTAAGTCGTTGGCGCCATCAACCAACACAAATAGGAGGATATGTCAACTTGTACGGATAGACAGAAACTGACCTTCCTGTGCCTTTTGGTCAGCTCTAGCATGTGGTGTTTACTTGGATTCGAAGAATACCTGAGCGTTGAGTGAATCCTAGGGTCCAATTGTGTATCCGTACTTCGTGGGGGCCGAGGAAGGAAACCGTTCGCAGGGAGCTGTTCTGTAGATAACTCACTCAAGTCTAAATAGGAGTGCTTAACGTAATCTTCTTGGGAATGTCGTCCATGAGACAGTGGATGTGTTTTCGCTGTTCCCTCAGCGGCCCCAGTAACGTGGTACATTGGAAACGGATCCAGTACGCGGTTATCAGTAAACTTGGTCCAACCCTTGTTCCCCCCAGCCAGAAGAGATGCCGATCGATGGGACGGGAAAGACGGACCACCTGGGGCCGAGCCGTCATCAAACCACAATTGCTGCTGCATGAACTAGCCGTGACGATGCTATCCAGTATAAGGAAATGTTAGTAAGCCCGGAATTATTGGCACTACCTGAGATGTGTCTGAGCTGGCATGTGCGGTAGATTCTCAGGCGCCTCGGGTCCGACGACTGAGACAGTCCAAGCATATCGATTCGACACTCGCATTTCACCCGTATTTCATGCAATGAACTGGTCAGGTGTCTGTTGCCTTAAACTTGCTTACGCGCCCTTGCATGAAAGTATGTTAGTGCCTGTACCTGGCTACGTGGGTCTTTTCTATTCTGATTGGCTATTGGCAGTGCGTGCAAGCCCTGACGCGCACCGCCGTAGTGTGCGATGACCAGTGTGGCATGTGCGTAGACGAGACCATGCAACGAACTCACTCAGATTAAATGCTCCCACAGGTGCATTTCTATCGCCAGAATGTGGGCACCACAGGGCAGTGTGGAGCGCGTGAGTGCTATTTCGGCTGATGGCTCACTACCGAGCCCGGATTCACTTCGTCAAGGTTTATAAAGAAAGCTTAAGGGCGTGGTGGTAGCGACTAGGATGAGATCGTGTTGGTTTGTCGACCAATAGTCATGGTTACAAGGTCATTCCTACTCAGCGTACTGCAGCATACTTGTTACACTTACACGCGCTATACTCGTATTCAGCTTGCCCTCACTGCATCAAGCCTTCTGTTATGTTATGCTGGTGAAACACGTACTTTTGAGCACGCGATTTAGTTGTAATTAGGTAGATTTATCGAAACAATCATCCGTAACAGCTTCCCTTCTTCCGCGACGTTCTTAAGTTGAATGACGTTGACGGTTTGAGTACGCTTTATTTCCGTTAATTTGTAAGTCATGGCGCTCTGCCGCGTTCCCTCGTGGTCTAGTTGTATTAGCTGCTGGCTAGCGGCCCAAAATGCTGTTGACAATGGTTTCGGATCCTGCTGGAGCCGATAGGGCAACACAGAAGTCTAGTGTTTTTCCTGGCGTGTGGATAACCGCTTGACTTGAAACTTACTGGGAAGGACCCTCAGCCATTTAACTGTGTGTAAGTCATGTGGTACTCTACGAAGTATAGCTTAATAGAGATTTACCGACACAGTCCTCATTTGCACCACAAGGGGACAACCTTGTTCACTCCAGAGCTGTGGTCCGCCATTCTCAGCGTTCTACACACTTACAATAGGCACGGATTAAGTAGGTTTCCGTCGCAAACTGACATACCAAATTTATCTTATCAGGCGTGTTGTCGACCTATTTGCTTTGTCTCATTCCAAGCAAGCAACTGGACGCAGGTTGGCCGTGATCCGACTAGGAGACATCAAGCATTTATGGTAACCCATTTGGACACTGGATATTTTAGCTCATTCCAGCAAAGCGCTTGTTAGGAGCCCATCGTATCCTAGTGAACAGCGGGAACGAAACAGACAGTTACTGGGCGGCGATTCAAGCATATTCGGTCATCGGGCGCAGCAGATGTTGTCCTCCGTCGTGTGACTCCGCGAGTGAGCTACAGTGAGTTCACGGTTGATTGGTTAGCTGGACTAATGGAGAGAACGCATGGGACCGCAAAGTCATGGTTAATGAAAGAAGACGAACAATATATATCACATCCCTGATATGCCCTTGCTTGTCACTGAAAGGTTAACATTTTGACAGCAAATTACTGCCTTGTGAAACTTTCTAATTCCCGAAATCGGTGGGGGGTTTTCATTGGTTAACTCGTATCTTAATTTGAGTAAAAAAGCTATAACTAGTTATTTCTTCAAGTCATGTATATCGTTTACATGCAGTCGAAAGTCTGGCAGTAATTGGTTATCAAACTACGGGGTTGTGCGGTTGTGACTGACTTCTGCCAGAGTACCCCATACTCGCGCCTGGGTTTACCACACAATGTGTAGGCCAACCCCATTGTGGTTGGCGGCATCCGGTTTCGGATTTGCCTGTCACTGTGGCCAGCCACAGGACGCCTGCGCCTACAGAGGGACCATGGGTGGCTTGCGTTGCACCACCCACAGCTCCATCCACACACACCATATCCAGTGTAAACCCGAAGGAATAAGACCGGGAGGCATGCGGATAAATAAATAAATAAATATTATATTCCTCGGTGATTCGAGGTGCAGTCCAACTATGTGGTCTGATCAATGTGTACAACAGGATCGCAACAAAATAATCAGTTTGTTCACGCTGTTTACAATGGATCCAAAACAGGTACTAAACTAATTGGCAGAATTACGGCATTAAAGAAATTAGAAACCAGGAACAATAACGTAAGCAGATTTAAACAGATGTTCAGTTAAAGTAATACGGCCACTCGTGGAATCATCCCCAGGGGACCTGCTTCCATGCAAGGTATTCCCTCGAAAGGTTTCGCTCGCACTTCCATGCAATAACTGGCCGTGTGCCGGTGTGGCATAGTAGCATATGAGCCATCACCAGTTTATCATATGCTCTGTTCTTTTTAGAGCTGCTTTTGTACATGTATTATGGGCCATGAAGCCTCAGCCCAGTCCGTCATGCGGATCATTCTATTATGGCACTTTTTTATACGCCAGTAAGTTGGTGGCAATTTGCCTTGCATAGGTAACGTCTTTTATAATCTGGAAGCTGTAATCCGTCACCACAGGAGATCAGTCTAGTCGTGGCCAACTATGAAATAAGGAAGAATATAGAAAAGAGGAATTATGTGAAAACTATATCGTTAGTGTAAAAAGTAGGCAGGTATGTTTTGTACATCGGCGTAGAAATCGAGCGAGCCGATCATACGATAAATTGTGTAGCGTGACAGCCGGAGGCAGATAACTCTACTAGTTGTCCATAGGCAAAAGTCGCATAGGGAATCAGTTATTGCCATCAATGAATTCAAGTATATGTTTCTGGACTGTTAACTTCAGAAAAGAAGGGGAAATGATTAGCACTGGAGAACAAATGTAGCGAAAGGGATCGCAGAACAATATTACGAATTAATCAATTTGTGAGGAAAATTACGAAACTAGTTCCTGACGTCACACCAGTAAATAATTTTGCTCTCGGTTTTAAACAGAAGACAGTTGATATGAATTAAGTTTAAAGGGAGTAAAACCGCATGGGAGGTAGCGTTAAGGAATAGCATAAGAAGCGGTTTGTAGCAGCTCATCCTAGCTGATCAAGTGTTCTCTGGTGCAGTAGAGTTGATGTTCTCCGGTTTCATACATGTTCCGGCCCTTCTTCATACAGCTTTTCATCATCAAGTTGAATTTTTAAGATCCATTTCGCTCTGTCCGTTGACAGATAAGCCTTTATCATTTTCTTGAACATGCAAAAATGTTCAGTACATCTAATCTCTTTTGGCAGCTTATTCCAAATGGAGCCATACCTAAGAAGATAGAAATTGCTCCTTAGACTGCTCTTGAATTTAGGTAAATAGAATATGCATTCATTATCTCGCAGTTCATAAGTGGTGTCTTCCCGAAAGTGCAATTGATAGGTTCCAATATATGCTTTCCGCCACGCGAGTTTGTGGAGGAAGCACAGATTTAATTGCATTCTTCGTAACCACTGAGGTTCAAGCTTCAACTGCTTGCACCTAACTCGGTATGAAAGAGCGGTTGAACAGCCAAATATGCGCTTCGTAAAGGCGCGTTGGACGTTTTCAATGGCTGTCAAGTCAGCCTTTCGGAAGTTACTGAACACAGCACAGCAATATTCAAGCAAAGGCCAGATATTGATTTTGAAAACAATTAGTCTGGTTTCTTTCAAGGTTAGAAGGTGGCATATGAGCCCGACCGACTGCTTAGCCTTTTTCACGATTTGATTTGTATGTTCGCTAAAGTTTAACGAACTAGAATATCTTAAACCTAAGTCACGAACAGACTGGCTGATGGGAATGACTTCATCATGAAGCCTGAACACTTCTGCTGCTATCTGACATCCATACGATAGAATACTACACTTCGATGTTGCAAATGTCATCTGCCACATATCAGCCCATCTCTCAATGGCTTTCAAGTCGCTTTGGATATTGTTAACTTCAGCGGTACGCTGAGAGCCTGGGAACGTGTAAACCACCTTTAAATCATCAGCAAACAAATAAGGCTTCCCAAATTGTATAACAGAAACCAGGTCATTTATATACAGTAGGAAGAGTAACGGGCCTAAGACACTGCCCTGTACCACTCCACTGGTAACCGGACGAGGTGAAGAGATGTAACCATTGATATCCACAACTTGCGACCGTCCTACTAGGTAAGATTGGATCCAAGAGTTAAGCGGATTTGTGACACCGTAATTACTTAACTTACATAACAGCTTTTCGTGTGGGACTCTGTCAAAAGCCTTTTGCATGTCGAGGAAGATAACAATGCATTGAAGACCTGAGTCAATTGCTTCAGTTAGATGGTTAAGGAAGTCAACTTGACAGGTAACACACGAGCGAGACTTCAGAAAGCCATGCTGTGAAGGTGAGAGAAGTTTGTGCGATATTAGGAACGAAACCAAATGTTCCTTAACAATTCTCTCTAGCATGCGTGAGAGAATGGCTGTGTGACTAATGGGGCGGTAGTTCCGGATGTCAGTTTTCAACCCGGACTTATGTCGCGGTATAACCGTAGCCGTTTTCCAACGTTCGGGGTATTGACCAGACTGGAGAGACAAAGAGAAGATATTTAATAATATACGAGGGATGTCATCTCCACCGTGTTTGATTAGAGCAGAAGAAATCCCATCGGGTCCAGGTCTGTAGGATGGTCGTAGACAAGTAATCATACGTTTTCTCGTAGCAACACTAAGCTCGATCGCTGGGACTTGTTCAGAGAAGTGAAACGAGGTTGACAAATCCAGGGTTTCTTTTTCAACATTAAAGGATCTAGCAAAGTATGAGTTAAAGGCTTCCGCCATGGCAATTGGGGAACCAATGCAATCACCTTCGGGCATGACGATGTGGGAGGGTAGGTCAGTTTTGCCACCTCTCCTTTTTCTCAGTAATGCAGTCACCAGTTGACTTGTATTACTACTATTTACAGCCCGTCTTTCTTGCTGCATGAGACGAGTTTGATGTTTCATGTCCATCTCAATTATAAGGCGTTGGAGTCTCAGTAATACACTAAAGTCATGAGTACGTTCAAATGTTCGAGTTAGCACTCGAATTTTCCGCTTGTCCTTTGCGTTGTTAGCGTATTTAGAAGAGACTCTCGTATTATCACAGGAGGCAAG